TCTGGTTTCAGTTGGAAGTTAATCTTCATAATTTTCTGCATCAATCTACTACACTTGATAGTAGCCAAAAGGCTGAGAAGCGATAATTCTCTACATCAATCTATGTATTTGTAGCCATTTTTTTTTCTCTTTTACATGTCCACCAAGCATGAGAAAATGTACCTTCTTGTTCTTTACATTTCCAACATGTATTTGGAATATTTTTATACATTCTGAATAATTTATTAGGAGTTAAATACCAACGGTATATCATTTTATTAAAAAAATATTTTAAGTCATAACAATGTATATTTTAACTCCTTTGTCCACATATGTTCCCATTGTTCCATTTGTATGTTAAATCCAACATTTCTTGCCCACTTTAAAATTATTAAATGTCACTACATGTTGGTAGTGCCCTTGCTGGGGTTAATCCATGACAGGGCCTTTTGGGTGGTGGTTCCCCATTTATGGAGTTCTCTCCCTGGCAAGGCGTGCTGGTCTCCCTCACTATTAAAGTTCAGAAAGAATTTTAAAACATGCCTGTTCACCTAGGCATTGGGTGGCTGAAAGATGATGTTCCCTGCCACCTTGGTGAGGCTATGTGATGGTTTAAAAATGCTTTTAGATGTTCCTAGTGCTTTAAATGTCTTTACTTGTTTTATTTTTAATTGTGTTGCAATCAAATATCCAGAGAATAATGGGAATAATATTTCACATTTTACATTTGTGGAAGAGAATTATGAGGAGAATTTTGGGGAACAAACTTCCTTTAACTCTAAGCGAGCCCTTTTGGCTGTGAGGCAAACAGTGTGTTCCTGACGAGGAAGGCGGAGGCATAAGAGTTGGCAGACTAGCATCCTAACAGCTTCTTAATGGAAGTATTTAAACCTTGTTGTTTCTGCAAAAGACAGGCACTGCGCTCCAATCTGTTTGAAAGCCAATAATGGATGGGAATTTACCTCTTCGAATTCTCTGTCTCCAAAATATGAGGCAATGTGGTGAGATGAAGAGGATTTGGGTCTGGGAGACGAGCGGTTACTTTATCAATTTTGCGACCGCCAGCCTCCCAGCCCCTCCTTTCCCTTTCTTCGGCCTTCCCTGTCCTCTTGGCTCCATTTATAATTGTAAGCTGTCTGGGGCAGAGACTGTCTGCCTTTCAGCGTCTGCACTTTACAGCACTTAGCACAAACAGGCTTCAGTATCCCTGGGGACCTTTAATGATTATTATTACCATATTTCTGCTGTTCCCCAAACACTTCCTTTCTGCTTGATGGGGGAGAAAGTGGCTCTGAGAAAAAGGTTGAGCCTGGCAGAATAATCCTGAGCTGTATCTAGAGGTTGTGGGCTCAGGTAATTTCCAATTCTCTTTATAATTCACTGTGAGGTAGGAAGAGGAGTCACCTGCTTCTTCCCTCACTGCTGAAAAACTGTGATATCTGCTATGTAAATAAACATCCTCCTCTATTGTGCGTTTGATATCCACCAACTCAGAGAGAGTGCACAGGAATCTATTTGCCTTGTATATTTTCAACAGTTTAATTGCTCTTATCAGTCCAGCCTCCTCCTCACATGTACAAATGTTGTGCAGTGGAGAAGCAAACATGGAAAATTCAACATCCCCCCCCCAATGGGTACATTTCACAGGATTTGTATGCTTCTAGGGGCACATTTGTAACTAGAGTAAGCAATTAAAGGGAACACAAAAACAAAATGTGAGGCCTCCTGCAGTGTCCATCAAGTTAGTTTGTGGATTTCAGACTTCCTTGTTCCGCAGGTTCTGGAGATCTACTCTCACTCTTTGCTGGCCAGGTGTCCTACATCACAGAGGACAGCCCTCTGTTTGAAGGAGTAGGTCGATTGGCATCTAGAGGCAGTGTGGGGTAGTGATTAGAGAGTTTGACAAGGACCTGGGAGAGCAGGGTTCAAATCGCCACTCGGCCGTGAAGCTCGCTAGACAACCTTGGGCCAGTCACTGCCTCTCAGCCTAACCTAATTCACAGGGACTGAGGGCTCATCCATACTTCTGCTTGTCCTGTGCCTACAAAGAGCAAGTCTGAGAGGTTTCCCCTTTCTCCACTCATTTCCCAGGGAAACTTTAGCTCCAAAGTGGAGCAAAAACCATCCATGGAAAACCTGAATTGCTGTTTGCTCCAATTGAGCACTAAAGAGCTGTTTTCCTCAGAGGAAGGTAGCAAGACAAGAGGAAGTGTGGATAGGCCCTAAATGACGATGGGGAGAGCCATGTATGTTTCCTTGGAGGATATAAATGCCATAAAATAAATAAATTATTATTAGTTCTCTAGCTGATTTCCGGTATTTCGGCAAAGCTTTATGTCTGCCAACAGTTTAACAATGGCAAGGGAAATTGCAAAGAAAGCCAACATCATGTGACTTGAACCCACTAGGTCTCTATCATCCTTGGTGTTCTCTCACCTGTGAAATACGAGTATTATTGGCTGCCTGTGACCAGGCATTGACCAGTATTCCTGCAGCTTTGCTTAGAGAAGTAAGTGAGTTACTGGTTTGCTCTTCTATATTCAGGTTTATATTTACTTTGCATTTGGCTCTAGCTGATCCTATGCGTTCTAGCAAAAAGGCAAAATCAGGGTTCAAAAAGCAAAAAAACCGGACACATTTGTAGGTGGGAGGAAGAAAAATAGTAGTAATAGTAGGCACTGCCATTTTTGGTCTCCACTGCACTCTGCCGCCAGCCTGCCGCCAGTGTCACCACCAGGCCCACACGCCTCTTTCCTGGCCCGGGCTGGCAGCGGCCGTGGCGTGCAAAGTGGCGGGAAACATGGACTGCTCGAAAACACCCCCCCGATCGTGGGTAAGACACTGGATGACCGCCCATGCCTTGTCTGGCCACCGTCCCCCTGCGGGCCTCCAGAGTTTCCCTCTGTTTAGCCGGTGCGCCCAAGAGAGCTTGGGTGGTGGATGGGGCCGTGCCCAGCACTGAGGGACCCGGCATGCCTTGCCCAGCAGAGAGAGGGGCCCCACATGTTGACTGGAGCTTGCACCCACCCAGGAACAGGACGCAAGAGACCCGGCAACAGTGTGGCACTCCCACCTACTGAGTCGATACTGGGTGGCTTTCGCCACCCATGCAAGCCTGGGAGCTTCCTGCGCGTCAATGGGCAGATGCCGACGGAGGAGCCACTGGCACCCCAGGAGATGTGAGGCAGGCACCAGTGACAGGTCGCACAGCTTGGGGGCAGTGGAGGGCAGCACTCGCCCACCCTCTGCCTGCCCTGCCATTCTGGGCTCTGGCGCTTGCCTGCCCGACATCCTGCATTGGCGGCATGGGCTGGGAGCAGGTATGCATGGCATAGCTGCCGACCCCCCCCCCGACCCTACCGTACCTGATCTTCCAATGGCTCTCCCCCTTCCGATGGATGCTCTGCATGCCATGGCCTCCGCATGCTCTCCTGTGGCCAAAGTGACTGCTCCACACGGCACATCCGTTTCCAGGGCACAGGAAATGCCACTCCCCCCCCCAAAGAAACCCAACTCCCCCCCCAACCAAATATTTCCTTTAAAATGCAAAAATCTGCCCGGATGGCCATGTCAGCCCCCCAAAAGAGGGCATGTCCGGGGAAACCTGGATGTATGGCAACCCTAAGGCAAGATAGATTACACAAGTCTGGAGTTTGCTGCTCTGTGTTTTATTTGAATATCTGTCTGGTATCATGTTAACAATTCATAAGAAGGGAGACCTTGAAATTGCTCAGCAGCAGCAGGCTGAGCAGGTGCACAGGTCACCCAGTCCCTGGTAACATTAATTTCTATTATTATTTCTAAATCAGCCTCTATACATATAAATTAGCATATGCAACTTTGATTTAAATCCATATCCCCACTGCCCCTGTTTTTGTGATGATGTGTACATTGTTACCCTAGACTCTTCTCTCTGGACTTCTTCTCCCCTTCTTTTCACGGGGCTATTGCCTGTGCTCACCAGGGGGGCCAACTTGAACAAAATGGGGGGGGGGCAGATAAACCCTGCCCCACATAATCGATCACATGACATGGTGCACACACACCATATGAATCAACTTTGGGGAGAGCATCAAATATTTTGGGGGGGCAAGCCCCCTTGGCCCCTTGTCGTTGGCTCCTATGTTTCCCACTCTCCTTTCCCAGGACTCCTGCTCCCCTTGGCCCTCCCTCCATCCCCCTTGCCATCCCCAATGCCTCCATTCCTAGGGACCTCTTCTTCTCCCAGATAGTTCTGCCTTCCTGGCTCCTTTCCAATATCAGAGCAGGAACAGAGAATGTGCAGAGAGGAGGTGTGAGGTAAGCCAGCAGCTGGGGGTCTGAAGAGCTTGAAATCCCCCCCCCATTAATCTTAGAAGTCCTTATCATTGGCTGGACTGGGCTCTGTGGTGGTCCACAGGTCACAAGTTCCATTGAAATCTGTATTATAATTGCAAAAGTAGATGGCCATTTATTTGAGAAGCATTGTACTAAATTCTCGCCCTGTTTTGTAAAGAGCATCCTTCCTGCTCTGTCTGTTTTTGTTTCTTTAAATAATAATTATTATTATTAAACAACCCAGTGCTGCAGTTCTTCAAAGTCCAGATCTCCCCATATCAAAGTTTCCAGAAGGGTAGATGAAACGCAGCAGGGCTCAGATGGAAAGCTGGCTGGTCTGAGTCATCATATACACAGCAGCTATCAGAGTAATTTAGTTACAGAGCAACCTGCATTGTAAAAAACACACTCACAGGCCATGGTGGGCTCTCCTGGCAGGAGGCTAGACAAAGACAGAAGAGTCAGCTGAGTAGCTGGAGGGACTCAGTTGAAAGGAGGTGAGTGGCTCTTGGAGATCCTAGGATAGTCCTGACGGTTGCTAGATTGTGATTGTATGTGTGTATGTTTGCATGTTCTGCACACCCCTCTCTTGATTCCTTTCTCTCCCCTCCTGGAGCCTGACAAAAAGCTGAAAGACTGCATGACATCACATGTCAGAGATTCCTCGTGGAGAGAAAAACCCAACTCCTCCTGCAGCTCGTTTCAAAAGGCACTGGGAGGCTTGGTCTGTCCACGTCAAGCAAAGAGAGAGAGAGAGAGCGAGAGAGGCAGAGTGCAGTTCAGTCGCCAGGCTGCACAGATCTCTCAACTTTTCCAGCAGCGAAGAGGAAGAGAAGGAATAAAACTTCTTGGGTTATTCCGAGCCGACAGTGCTACAGTGATCAGAAGTGCCTGGGCATTGGAGGAAAGAAGCAAATGACCCGGAGAGGGAGAGAAGGAGAGAGGCATCGCTGTTGTGGACTGGAGGGAGCGGTGCTGTGAATTAGCAAAGAATTCGCATCCAGAGCAGTTTAGCATTACAGCAAGAGAAGCCTATGCTCCGGCTGGAAGAATCCCAGTATGGAAGAAGTACTGGCAACTCTGCCCTGGCAACTCTCTCCCTGAACTGCTGCTTCTCCTCTGACTCAGGTAACAATGGGGGGCTTCTGATCTGTAGACCCTCGGGCACATGTGAAACTGAGAAGGTGGGCCCCACATCCCACCTGGACCTGTAGGGCCACTCCTTCTAAATGATCATGGCTACCATGGGCGGTCATGACGGCTACAATATCCAAGCCACCGCCGCCATTGCAGCTGTCACCACCTTCCTCATCATCTTCACCATCTTTGGCAACATTCTGGTGATCATTGCTGTGCTGACCAGCAGGTCTCTGAAAGCCCCACAGAACCTTTTCCTGGTGTCCCTTGCGGCCGCAGACATCCTAGTGGCCACCCTCATCATCCCCTTCTCTCTTGCCAATGAGTTGATGGGCTACTGGTATTTCAGCAGGACATGGTGTAAAGCCTACCTGGCCTTGGATGTTCTCTTCTGCACAGCCTCCATCGTGCATCTCTGTGCCATCAGTCTGGACCGGTACTGGTCGGTGAGCAGAGCCATTGAGTACAACTCCAAGAGGACCCCACGGAGAATCAAGTGCACCATCCTTGTGGTGTGGCTGATTGCGGCAGTCATCTCCTTGCCTCCGCTGGTCCTCAATGAAAACCCAAACAATGCCAAAGAGGATGCAAGGAGGTGTGAGCTGAATGAGGAGCCCTGGTACATCCTCTCCTCCAGCACCTGCTCTTTCTTTGCCCCCTGCGTCATTATGATCTTGGTGTATATTAGGATCTACTTCATAGCCAAGCGTCGAAACAAGCAGAGGACTCAAGCTAAGAAGCCCAAGACAAAGGCGGAAGAAGGGGTGCCCCAAATCATCGCCGTTCCATCTGTCGAAACCTCTCCCAAGCAGGACCAATCCAAGCCTCAGGGAGAAGGGGAGCCAAATGGACATCAGGTACCCACTCAGGAAAGTGACCAACCAGAGACCCATTGCCTCTCTACTGAGAAGTTTTCTCTTGTAAGCCAGGAGGAGAAAGACCCAGAGCCAGCAACTGCCACCAGCCCTTCTCAGTCCCTGCCTGAGAAGAAGCCATCATCTTCAGAGTGCTTTCCCCCTAGCAGCATCAAGCAGGGCAATGGACCCCCCCAGAGCTCCCCTCAGGGCATGGACACCTTGGCCACTGCGAGAGGGGAGGTCCTGCTGGTGAGGAGGGTGAAGACCCTCAGTGCCAACCCCTGGAAGAGGAAGACACACCTCAACCGGGAGAAGAGGTTCACCTTTGTCCTGGCTGTGGTGATCGGGGTCTTTGTCATCTGTTGGTTCCCTTTCTTCTTCCTCTACAGCCTCCGGGCCATCTGTCCCCCAGAGCACTGTCCAATCCCAGATAGCACCTTTAAGTTTTTCTTCTGGATTGGCTACTGCAACAGCTCCTTGAACCCTGTCATATATACCATCTTCAATCAGGACTTTCGTAAGGCTTTTAGGAAGATTCTCTGCAGGCAGTGGACTCAGACTGCCTGGTAAGAGAGGCTGGGTGAGGGCAAGCAAGCAAGCAATTCAGAGTGCATGGGGACCCTTGTGGAAACGGAACTCATCATGCTATTTAAACTAAACAAAGAAAAATATATTTATTTGTTGGCTTTTGTGTTTGTAGAAAGGGGAGTGAGGTGAGTGCTGGATAGAAACTGGCTTTTCAGGCAGTCGATTTTAGTTCAGCTATCTCTGTCTGTGTGTGTATAACGCAGACCCACACCCATATGTTCCGCCAACATATTTTTTTTCACCAAAAGATTATGTGCCAATGCCAAATATATTCTGATTAGTTGGGTCAAAGGAACCTTTTTTCCTAAATCCTGTGGCTGAATGAGAGTGTGCTCAAGGGTTGCCAGCTTTGCAAACTATCCCTGTTGCTGTGCCTTTAACAGCAGCTTGATCTGCAGGGATTAGCAGGTGATAATGTTTTTGTCTTCATGCTGCAAAAAGCTTCCTGCGTGATTCCTGCAGACTAAGATGCTGTCAAGGCAAAGGAGCAACCCTGGCAAATTTCCTCGCCTCCTGACCACTTGGCAGCCTCCTGTGCCATCCAGGTAAGCCACAAAAAAGTAATCAGTTAAACAGCCTATAACTAATCCATTTATATCTGTAAATGATGAACATGCTTCAGAAGAAATCTGCAAAGTGTCTATTTCTCTGCTCAGGAATCTAGGACTGAAAATTCTCTTTCAGGGGCATGTTGGCAGCTATGAAGGCATGATAGTCAGGTTGCCAACTGGCCAAAATAAAATGGATGGGACTGCTCCTGTGCCTTTGACAGAAAATTTGTATACAGGTGTCGGCATGGAAATAGTGTTGCTTGCTAACGTCTGCACATTGAAATGCTGTTCTTAAAGGCACAGTGCAGGCAGGGCTGGAAGCAAAAGTTGGTGGTTGAAATGGTCTGATTTTTTTTTTTAAAGGGTGATTTGAGCCAAATGTTGATGTTTGTTGTATTTGATTGCAGCCAGCTATTGGGAAATTCCCTGGATGGTGCTTTTTGACATGGTAGGCTTGTTAACTTCTAAAAATCAGCTCTTCTCCTGTGCCTTTAAAGGCAGAATGATTTTGGAGAAATTTAGAAAGGCAAGCTTTTGTAGCTCTTTCGGTTCCACATCAAGAAAAACTTCAGCTGTTACATTTATGCAAGTTAAGCTGCTGTTAAAAGCACAAAAGCAGCCCTGTTTAAAAATAGCAGCAGCAAAGTAGCAACTTGGGTTGTTTTTATCGTGTTTCCTATTCCTTTGCTTCTGGAGTCCTCACAGATAACATCAAATATTTCTGCACTGGAGGTGGTTGGACTAGATGATCCTTGGGGTCTCTTCCAACTCTATGATTCTAAATTCTTCCCATGGAACATGTGCATGGAAGGGTAGGCACTGACTTCTAAATCAGGAAAGCAAAGTCTTCTAAGACACCAGATGCTTTTTGCTACTATTTAGGGTTGGCAACTGACTAAGAAGAAAACTCCAGTCTGGTCTGTGTTTTGACCTTCAAGAGCAGCTTGATCTGTAGAAATCAACAAACGAAGTCCCCTTGAGCTATAGACTGCCTATTGTACACAGTTTAAAGGGCTATTGAAGGCACAGCTGAAGTGGCCCTTTGAAAATTTGGCAGCTAGGTTACTATGTTCGGAGGAAGGGTTCAGGTGTGCAAAATTGGCCTGAGCTGTGTTAATGTGGAAGGAGGAAACGCATTCACACGTGGAGGTGGGCAGAAGAGGTGGGTTCCCACAGCAGCACAAAGTCCAGTTTTGTTGGTATGGGTTTGTAGTAGTCCTATTGAAATTAATTGACATGTCTAACTTAGGTCCATTAATTTCAATGGGTCTACACTGAGTAGAAGTTAGTTGGATGCAGACCTACATCCCCAAGGACTGCAGCATTGAATGGAAGCCTTTGACTGACTACTGCCCCCCAGTTAAAGAAACCATAGTTGATTAACTTATGAGTTTTAGTTGATCGCTTAATGAAAGCTGCTATATGTATGAGAAAAGAACAAAGTGCTTTTTTAAAAAATATTGTCTTTGAGTTTGGAGCAGGTTTTTGGAAAACTTGTGGTCTTTCAGAGTTTGTTGGCTCTCCATTATCCAGGCTCCTGGGAACTGGAGGCCAGCAAACTCAGGATGGCCACAGGTTCATCAACTTTGGTTAGTGGATGCATGTGTGGATCACAGCAGACTCCCTCATAAAGGCGGCCTTCTCCCTCTTCTCCCACACAGCCAAGAGCCTATCTAGTCCAGGATTCCATTTTTACAGTGGCTGGCTAGATGCCTATGGGAAGCCTGCAAGCAGAACAAGAGTGTGAGATCCCTCTCCACACTTGTGAGTCTCAGCTTTAAGCTTTATTCATAAGCATCTTACCTCTGATAATGGAGGCAGAATATAGCCTTATTCTCATGAATTTATCTAATCCTCTTTTAAGGCTGCCCTCTATGCCCTGGGTCTAGTCCTGGGTAGTTGATACCAGTTAAAGAGCATATATGTGAAAGAATGTTTTTTTGTCCTGCCAAGCCTCACTTCGCGCTGGCCTACTTTGAAGTGCATTTGCCATTTTGCTTTTTATGTTTTGCCTGTGCTGAGCAATTCGTTATCAGCAAACTTTTCTACCTCACTGATCACCCTTAATTCTTGATGGTTTATGAACAACTTAAGAAGCACAAGTCCCGGTTCCAGTTCTTGGGGTCTCCTTTCTATATCACTCCATAGGGAGAACAGTCCCTGTATTCCTGCTCGGCTTCCTGTTTTGTTCTGATCCAGAAGAGGTCCTCTCCTCCTTTTCTACTATTGCTAAGCTTGCTAAGGAATCTTTGGTGACAGACTTCACAAAAATCTTTAGCAAAACTACACAGTGTTGATGGCTCAAGCACCTCACCCTCTAAGCTTATTGACTCTCAAAGAACTCTGAAAGGTTAGTGAGACTATTGCAGAAATCGTGCTGGTTTTGCTTCAGCAAGACTTAACTCTTCTATATGCTTGCCAATTCTGTCTCTAGTAATGCTCTCCACCAGTTTTCCTGAAACAGATGTTAATCACCCAGATTCCCCCTGGATCCCTTTTGGAAAATTAGTGTTACATTCTGAAATGGTGCTTGACACCTGCAGTATTTTTAAGTACTTACATTTAAACAATGTTTAAAATGTTAAATCTTCTGATCAGTTACATGGGGGACTCTTTAATCAATCAAAATGTTCTAATTAATCAGTCTGATTAATTTATTGGATGCCACAATCTGTCTTTAAAAAGTGCCGAGATCACTTGGGGAACAAAATGATGATTGCAACGAGATGTGTGTGTCTGTGTATAATACACACATTTGAAAAAACGAGGATGAAATTTCATTCTCTTTTCCCTCTTCTACTCTGGAGGACAGAATGCCTCTCCTCAGGGTTGACCCAAGACATTTTGCTGCCTGAGACAAAGGAGAAGATGGTATCCTCCCCACACTTCCACATGCAGAAGCCAAACAGCACTAGTAGCTAAATCTTACTTGAATATTGGCAAGACTATAGCCAGTTGTGTGGCTCACACAGCTCTTGTCTCGAAAGGGGGCTCAGGAGGAGCAGCCATGAGGCTGCCCCACTGCCCCCCAGTATCTGCCACCTGGGACAGTTTCCTAACGCTGCCTCATGGTCAGTCTCAATCTTGCCTGTCCTCAAGTGCTTTTAGTTGATTAATCAAGGTCGTAGTCCTGTGCTGCCAGCCACGGCAGAGCTCAGTGGAGGAAGAAGCCAGCCAAACCCGGGGGGACTTGTCTGAAGGCAGAGTCCATATGCAAGGTCTGGTCTATCTCAGTTCACATAGTCAGACGATCCAGGGGTCAAGAAAGCTGAGGTTCTGAAGTCACGAGAAGCAAGAAGCAGCCCAGTCTGGCCAGGAACAACAAATGTTGTTTCCAGCAACTGGCTGAGGCTGGAAGTCGTGCTTAAGAAAGCTGGAGCCTGCTGGTTCTCATCAGGAGCAAGGAGGCTGATCAGCAGCAGGAGGAGTCACTTCACCTTCTGCTCATTCAGGCTGCTGCTCAGCAGGTGAAGCCAACTCCTGCCATGACAGTCAAGCATGGTTGAAAGCATAAGCACACTTTCCAGGGAATATATTCCACTCCAGGAGGGCCCTACCATTAGGCGGAGTGAAGCAGCCACTTGAGGCAGCAAGATTTGGGGTGTCACGAAAAGGCAGCAAATTGTTAGCTAATTAATTAATTTATTATAATTGTAACTATATTTCAGGGAGAGGAAGAGGGGCTTGTAGCATTTTCTACCTCATGCGCCAACATTCCAGTGGGGTGGGGTAAATTTTCTGCTGTTCCTCAGGCAGCAAAGTGCCTGGCCTGAACCCATTGAAACCAATGAAATTTACTTCTGAGTAATACTTGCAATTGTACTGGAATATTTATTTCATCAGCTGATAGCCCTAATTTCTAGCTTTCAGTTAACCCTGAACAGGTTGCTGCTGCTGTTTTTTCAAAATGAGTGTCCTATCTCATTCCTATTAGCTATCAACCATTTTGAATTAAAACTCTTTTCCCCTGGAGACTTTCCTCTTTCGCCAGCCAGTTCCATGAGGGGAAGAAGTTCAACAGGTGCCCCTTTCCCAAACTGTACTGACACAGAATAGCCCTGCAGAGTAGGGGGGAAGCCCTCTTTCCCCTTAACAGCGTTGTCAACTTTTTAATGGTTTTGCTCCTGTGCCTCTAAGGGCAACTTGATGTGGAAAAGTGAAGCCAACAAAAGCTTTTCCTCAGCTGGAGAGAGTGGAGGAGAAAGCTTTGCCTGCTTAATTTTTGTCCTGAGGTACAGGACAAAAGGTCAGTAAAAACATAAAAGGGTGGAGACCTGGCCCTCCTGATGCAAATGTAGGTTTGCCAACCTTTTTGACAAGGTTCCTTTGTCTTTAACAGATATATAGCATACAGAATTCCCCCCATCACAACAGGTCAGCCAAAAAGTTTCTCCTTCAGAGTTTGGGCGTGGTGGTGACTGAATGAAGTCCCAATGCCAATATTTTGCAATCTGAATTCTAGAGATTTGTACTTTTGACCATTTTCATTAGTCTAAACTAGCCTTCCGCAACCTAGTGCATTTCTAGTCTTTTTTTTGGACAGCACAGCTGATGGCAATTGTAGTTCAAGACTTCTGGGGTGGGGCAGGGGGCACCAGGTTGGGGAAGACTGAGCATAAGAAAACTGGAAAGCTCTGCTGATGAAGCCTAGCTTCTCTCACATAGTTTTGTTCTTTCTATGGGTCATTAAGAAAAAATTGAGGAAACCAATTTCCTGAAATACTTCTCTCACATCTGAATATATAAACTTGCTAACCGTTTCTTTCCAAAATATGTGCCTCATTTGTATCTGCATGGTTATGTTCCACATGGGTCCTATTGATCTTTTTTCTGAGTCCTAAAAGCAAGATTTGTACTATGGATCTGTCCCAAATCTCCTCTCCCTCCACCCCAAAAATAAATGCAACATTATTATTTTTTTCAAAATGCATTTTACATCTCTGATATACGTCTCAGAATAATTCTCTGAATTCTGTGTGGGAGGCAAATATAAACGGATAAAGTGATTTCTATATTCTAAATTGGGACTTTTGTGATAAAAAAATAGCTAGCAGGAATTTTTTTTACAATCAAGGCCCAGCAGAGTTGGCTACTGTTAGAAGTGGGTCCTGAGACCCACAAAATAAATTCTGAATGAAGTTGGTGAAGCAGCAAAAAGTTTATTGATTATAAAATGTTCTTGCAGGAGCAGGTGTCCAGTAGGCACGCTCCAAAATTGGCAAAACACAAGCTTATATCCGGAAGCCCAGGTTCCCTCCCTTGTTTCCCATTGGCTGGGTATGTGCAGGGTTTATCACTACCTCCTAATTCAGGGGTCAGCAACCTTTTTCAGCACTGTCCCTCAGACCTTGTGGGGGCCGGACTATATTTTGAAAAAATAAATAATGAACGAATTTCTATGCCTCACAAATAACCCAGAGATGCATTTTAAATAAAAGCACACATTCTACTCATGTAAAAACATGCTGATTCCCGGACCACCTGTGGGCCAGATTCAGAAGGCGATTGGGCTGGATCCGGCCCCCAGGCCTTAGTTTGCCTACCCATGGCCTAATTAGACTACTAATATCCCCGCCCTTGTTGATATCTCCCATTACTCTGAATTCGATAGCCATCACCCGTTTATCTTTCTCCTTATTTGGTCCATGTCTCTACGTTTTTACACATTGACTCAAACGATAAAGCCACGTCCGGACCACTAACGAGTTCTATATCTGCCGAAGCGTACAAATAAACCGTAATCCAGCTGCAAGCTGTCCTATCTATGAGCACCCGAACCACAAACCGTTATAAAGATAAGTACAGTGGTACCTCAGTTTTCGAATGTAATCCATTCTGGAAGACGGTTTAAGTTCCAAAACCAAAAACTCAAAGCGGAAGCCTCAAAATGGAAAACTCAAGGCAGAAAACTCAAAACAGAAGCTGTGTTTCATGTTTGGCTTCCGAGGTGCGTTCAAAAACAGAGGTACCACTGTATAAGCAGGTCTGTGCTATCTGCGGTCATCTAGCAGTTGTAACATCTGTGAAAAAGCAACATTATTATTCCTCAAAGCTACACACACCTCCACTGTTGGAGGCAGTACAGTAGGCTTCTCTGAATTTCAGTTAATGGGAATCACAATTGAAGGGAGTGCTGTTATTGTGCCTGGCTTGCAGGCTTCTCACAGGCATCTGCTTAGGGTTGGGTTGCCACCTTTGTTCTGGCAAAATATAGGTTGGGGCAGGACAGTTGGTGGACAATTATCCCCCATCTGGCGCTGAAGTGACTTCTGACCATCCATTACAATCTATTGCAGCCTAACCGGACTCTGGAATTTGTCACACACGCACACATTTACATGAATGTGTGAATCTGTCTGTGCTTTGGCTACCCAGAGCTTAACTACATGACCTTTCACACACCCTTTCAAACACAGGCATTTGGAGAGGATTCCTAACTTGGAAGACCTGAAATACAAGACAAAACTGTTTCAATACAGTTTAAAATCCTCCAAGGAAAGAGACCACTGACCAGCTCTCACTGGTGTTTAGTCGGAATCTCCCATCTTGTAACTTGAATCCATTGGTTCATGTTCTACCCTCCAGAGCAGGAGAAAACAAGCTTCCTCCATCCTCTATGTGACATAATAATAATAATAATAATAATAATTTATACCCTGCCCATCTGGCTGGGTTTCCCCAGCTGCTCTGGGCAGCTTCCAACAAAATATTAAAAATACAATAAAATATCAAACATTAAAAACTTCCCGAAACAGGTTACCTCAGATGTCTTCTAAAAGTCAGATAGTTGTTTATTTCCTTGACATCTGGTGGGAGGGCGTTCCACAGGGCTGGCGCCACCACCAAGAAGGCCCTCTGCCTGGTTCCCTGTAACTTTGCTTCTCGCAGTGAGGGAATCGCCAGAAGGCCCTTGGAGCTGGACCTCCCTTTATATATTTGAAGATGGCTATCATATCTCCTCTCAGTCTCTTTTCCAGGCTAAACATACCCAGCGCCCTCAACCGTTTCTAATAAGGTTTGGTTTCCAGACACTTTATCATCTTGGTCGCCCTCCCCTGCATACATTCCAGCTTGTCAATATCCATCTTCAATTGTGGTGCCCAGAACTGGACACAATTTTGGTCTGACCAAGACAGTGGTACTATTACTTCCCTTGATTGAGACACTAGCGCTGTGGTCTAAACCACTGAGCCTCAGCAGTTCAAATTCCCGCAATGGAGTGAGCTCCCATTGCTCTGTCCCAGCTCCTGCCAACCTAGCAGTTCAACAGCATACCAGTGCAAGTAGATAAATAGGCACTGCTGTAAATGGTGTTTCCGTGTGTTCTGGCACACACCACAGTGCCCCATCGCACCAGAAAGAGTTTAGTCATGCTGGACACATGACCCAAAAAGCTGTCTGCAGGCAAATGCCAGCTCCTTCGGCCTGAAATTGGAGATGAGCGCCACACCTCATAGTCAATTTCAACTGGACTTAACTGTCCAGGGTCCTTTATCTTTTGTTGTTGTTGTTTAGTCATTTAGTGGTGTCCGACTCTTCATGACCCCATGGACCAGAGCATGCCAGGCACTCCTGTCTTCCACTGCCTCCCGCACTTTGGTCAGACTCATGTTTGTAGCTTCGAGAACACTGTCTAACCATCTCGTCCTCTGTCGTCCCCTTCTTCTTGTGCCCTCAGTCTTTCCCAACATCAGGGTCTTTTCCAGGGAGTCTTCTCTTCTCATGAGGTGGCCAAAGTCTTGGAGCCTCAGCTTCAGGATCTGTCCTTCCAGTGAGCACTCAGGGCTGATTTCCTTCAGAATGGATCGGTTTGATCTTCTTGCAGTCCACGGGACTCTCAAGAGTCTCCTCCAGCACCATAACTCAAAAGCATCCATTCTTCGGTGATCAGCCTTCTTTATAGTCCAGCTCTCACTTCCATACAACACCACTGGGAAAACCAGAGCTTTAACTATACGGACCTTTGTTGGCAAGGTGATGTCTCTGCTTTATCTTTACCTACCACTTTAAACAGTCACGACTCGTTCCAAGCAATTCTGAGACCTGTAGTTTGTTAAGGATGCAGAGAGTCGTAAGGTAACTCCTATTCCTCTCCCAGAGCTGCAGTCCCCTGAGTGCCTTAGCAACCAATTCTTCTTCACAGGGAACTCTGGCCCAACAGCACCAGAGAGCCAAGTGGTTGTTTTGGGCAACAGCATTTTGGGCAAGACCAGTGAACGAGAGGAAGCAAGAGACTTGAGTAGCTTATCCCTTGCAGAGGATGGGTGCTGCTCAGGATGAGTGTGCTTCACCAGTATCCATCTAGGCTGGCAACTTGTGAGCCAGCAAGCTGCCTTTCGGCACCGGGATTGGAGAACCTGCAGCTCTCCAACTGTCACTGGACTATTGTTCACATCGTCCCTGGCCATTGGTTGTGCCGGCTGGGGTTGATGGGAGATGGAGTCCTACAGTGCTCCATCCTTGCCTTAGTAGGTCCAGTTTGGCCCAGTGGACAACGGTTGCCAAACCCTAACAAAGGAGGCTGTTTGCGCTTGCTCTTAAAGTGTGACACAGCCAGTTAATTGTGCTGAGGACGAGATCTGCTGTTAGGAGAGAGCACATTCATTGGGCATACAGAGTAGCTTGGCATATCTGTTTATTTCTCGTTTCCTGCCCTCATCTACTAAGCAAGATGGTGATATAAGATTGTATTGCTATAAACAGCAGGGAATTCATTTCCGTTCTGCATCCTCCATCATACTTGTAGCAAAATCAGAAGTGTTCCGTACAAATAATGGCTTTCAGAGCAGACTATAGTGACTGCAGTGCTGTCCCTTTCCAAATCTGTAGAGTTCAATGCACTTTACAGAGCAACATTCCTTGTATAATAATGAGTGATTGTGGCAGAAGTGTGTTTCCCCATGTCAAGTGTCAAGCTGTATAATCATGGCAGTTCATGCTATGTGCCAAGACATATTCTGAACCAAAGAAGCCTCAAAATTCTCTGCTCAGAGTAAACAAGGCAGGTTTGCTTATCTTCTGCAAACTTTGCTTGGAATTAAGTGGAAAGATTTGCTCTGGAAGTGCCTCGCTCTTGCTCCTTGCTAATGGGATGAGGTTGCCAACTTCTCAAGTGACATCTGTAGCTGTGCCATAAACAGTGGCTTGAGATGCAAGAATTTGCAGGTGTTTTTTAGGGCCTAGAGCCTGCTAATTTCTGCCTTTCAAGCAGTTGTAGGCGGCAGTCAGGGGAGAGGGGTCCCTTAGGGCAAGTGGGGTACCGCTGCCCCACGAAACACTGTCTGCCCTCAATCAGTCACCACCTGCCTGCCTTCTTACTTGCACCCATTCCAAAGCAATGGCACTGCTTGTCAGCTCTGTCCTCCTTAGTCTATGAGTCGGCTCTGCCTATCATTGGCTCTGGCTCCTCCTACTGTTGGTTCCCCTGTCTTCTACCCTACAAGCCCAAATGGGCAGCACCCAGTTGAGCAAATCTCTTTATGGTGAAGACTTTGGACGTAGAAGAGTGAGAGGAAATGAGAGAGGAAAGAGGGAATGTCATCTCTGGCAACAGGACTTCAGCAGCCAGCATCTTTTAGGAAAACGATTTACTAATGAGCGGCCAAGGCTGATTTTTAGGGAATTTGTGGGTATTTGCCTTGATTCTATTAATTTTGCATGCTTTACTCTATACATAGAATTCAAGAGGTTTTAGCATTTATTTTTTAATGGCCAGTGTTGTGCAGGTCATGTGACACCTGCAATGGAAATGGAGGTTGCCCAGAGATTGCATCTACCTTTTAACAAGGTGTATGCAGGTGGGGCTGAAAGACAGAAAAAGATAGTGAGTGTAATGAGCTACTCTGCCTCCTGCTTTATTTGTGCATTAAAAAGTAAATGCACACTGTCTAGGCTGTCACTTAGCAACCTTAGGAGGGGCAAA